ATCGCTGAACACCGTGAGCCACAACCTACTTCCCCCGGTCTTTGGGAAGATGATTCCATGATTCACCGTCCCCTTGACGTAGCGTAGTAGCCATTTCATCGCAGCCCAGTGATCCTCTCTGGGATCCTCCATGAAACGACTGACGTAGCCCACGGTGAACGCAATGTCCAGCCTTGTGTGGACTAGGTAGCATAGACCGCCGACGATGCTCCGGTAGAGTGTTGCATCCACTTTCACCGCGGTACTATCCTTCGTCAGCTTCAGCCGCTCCTCCATCGAAGTCACGCATGGCTTGCACTCCACCATGCCGCTCCTCTCCAACAGTTTGGAGGCGTACGCGCTCTGCTCGAGCGTGAGTTCCTCCTTCCCTTGCCTCACCTCGATGCCGAGGTAGTAGGAGAGTGCGTCGAGATCGCTCATTCGAAAACGAGCTGCCATCTCGCGCTTGAAGCTATTGAGGTCCTCCATGCGTGCGTCGGTGACGATTAAGTCATCCACATACACGCCGACCACGAGCTCTTCCTTTCCCCGTCGTCGCATGTAGGGCGCGTGCTCGGCTGCGCACCTCTGAAACCCAAGCTCGCCCAGCGTGGTGTCAAGCTTAGCGTTCCATGCTCGAGGGGCTTGCCACAGCCCGTAGAGCGCTTTGCGCAGTCGGAGCACCCTGTGCTCCTCTCCCTTGATAGCGAACCCTAGAGGTTGCCTGACGAAGACTATTTCTGTCAGCTCGCCGTTGAGGAAGGCCGATTTAACGTCCAAGTGATGGACGCGCCATTCCTTTGCTGCCACCAAAGCAAGTAGCAAACAGACCAACTCCATGCATGCTACTGGCGCAAAGACCTCCTCGAAGTCGATGCCCTCGCGCTGGACAAAGCCTCGGGCGATGAGACGCGCCTTGTGCTTGACGATGGCGCTGAGCTGGTCCCTTTTGACTTTGTACACCCACTTCAGGCTGATCGGACGACATCCTAGGGGTGGATCGACGAGCTGCCAAGTCTCGTTTTCCTCGATCGCCTTCATCTCCTCCAGCATTGCCCGTCGCTAGTTTCCATCGCGCTCGGCTAGCGTGAACGTGGGTGGTTCCTCCGCACTGACGAGTAGCAGCTCTGTGTCATTGAGCAGCCTAGCCGCCAGTCCTGAGGGACCTGTGCCGTCGACGATATCGTCCAGCCTGTGGAACCTCAACTCCTCCCCTTCGTGGTAGGGGTCCATGAACTCAGTTGTATCACTTGGAGGTGAGACGAACTCGATCGGGGGCGATGGAGTTCCTTTTTCCGCCGGAGTGCCCTGCATAGCACCCGAAGTGCTCGGCACTTCTTCTGGACTGCTCGTCATAACTCCTGCAGTGTTCGGCCACACTGTAGGAGTGTCCAGCCTCAGTCTTGGAGTGGTTGGCACCACAGTAAGACGTCTTGGCTCCGCTACGGGAGTGCTCAGCACCCGTCCTGAAGTGGTCGCCACCACTGTAGAACCTCCTGGCTCCACTCCTGGCGTGCTCGGTATCCCTCCAGAAGTGCATGACACTCCTCCCGGAGTGCTCGGCATTGCTCCCGAAGTGCTCGGCACTGCCCCAGAAGTGCTCGACTCTACCGCCGGAGTGCTTGGCGCTCCTCCCGGAGTGCGTGGCACCTGTTCCGCAGCGTCTCCACCGCCGTGGATGACCAAGTGCTCGACGACAAAGGTTTTGGTGAAGCCTCCCGCTTCCCCCGTGCTCGGACTGTTCCAGTCCCAAGCTGCCTCCTCGTTGAACACAATGTCGCGCGAGATAGTCACCTTGTCTCCGCGAGGGTCATAGAGCCGGTACGCCTTGGTACCCTCTGCGTAGCCTAGGAACACCATGGGTGTGCTCCTGTCCTCCAGCTTGGTGAGGTTTGGCTTCATTTTCCTGACGTGGCCGATGCAACCGAATGTCTGGAGGAATAACACGTGCGGCTTGTGCCCGTACCAAGCTTCGAACGGCGTCTTGCCCGTTAGGGCCTTGGTTGGAGCGCGGTTGAGGATGAACACCGCCGTGGTCACCGCCTCTCCCCAGAACTTTATCGGCATCCCTTTGGCCTTCATCATGGATCGGGCCATGCCGACCACTGTCTGGTTCCGTCGCTCCACCACGTCATTCTGTTGTGACGAGTACGGCGCGGTGTGATGTTGCCACACACCTTGATCCACGCAGTATGTAGCAAACTCCACCGAAGTGAATTCGCCACCCCGATCAGTCCTCAGTACACGTAGCTTCTTGCCGCTCTCGGCCTCCGCGCGCGTCTTGAACTTCTTGATCGCCACCGCCGCTTCGTCCTTGCTCATCAGGAGTTGCAGCCACATGTAGCGACTGCAATCATCCACGAGCAGGAGGAAGTACCGCCGACCACCGCATGTAGCAGGCGTGATCGGCCCGCAGAGGTCGCCGTGAACTAGCTCGAGAGCTTCCTTCGCGCGATACTTGGCCGCCTTTGGGAAAGGTAGCCTCCTCTACTTTCCAGCCAGTAAATTGCCACATAGCTCGCCTCCTCCGTTTGATGTGGGGTAGCCCTCGGACCATCTTCCCAGCCGACCAAGCGCGTCGGTGAGATGTCCGAACCGGCATGCCATATCCATGGCTCCTCGGAGTGCCTTGCCGCCAGGCAGACCGACTGCTCTACCTTCAGGTCGAGCAGGTACAACCGGTTCAGGGACCTCTTCACCTTGGTTAGAAGTCGCTGCTCCCGGTCTCTGATCCTCAGAACGCCATCCTTGATCAGAACCTCGCTACAAGCTCATCCACCGACCAATCTCGATGATGTTTGGAACGCACCGCGGGATGTAGTATACATCCGTTAGCGCCATGTGCTCCCGCTCGGCATCTAAAGATGATGGTGCCACGCCTGGATGGCCACCCTTGAGCCATCATCAAACTTCACCGTACCGGTAACATCACCATCGAGCTCAGAGAAGGAGTCCTTGGAGCCCGTCATGTGGTTACTGGCACCAGAGTCCAGATACCACCGCTGCTCCTGGTCAGCGCCCACACGCCCGAGATGGACTTGGGCGCGTGGTTCATCGAGGTTGACGGTCTTCAGGGCGTTGCTAGATCCTTCCACCGTTGTCGCCTCTTCCCTCTCCATGGCCTCGACGTCGTGCAGTGCACATAACGTCGCCATAAGGATAGTGGCCTCATCCTCATCATCGGCTTTCGCCGGTGAGCTCGAGCCTTCTTTTCCTTCTTGCGATTTGGGCACTCCGTGCCCAATGGCCCATCTTCCCGCAATACCGGCGCGCGGAGTCGATTTGCTTCTTCTCCGAAGAAGCCACCGCCGTTTGTTTGTCGTTGCCACCGGATCGAGAGGAGGCTGCCTTCCCGAGTTTTGCCGAGCAGCCCACTCTCTTCCGCTGCCAGGAGTTTCCGCCGTCGCCGTTCTTGTCGCCGCCGCTTGCTCTAGGCGCTCGTCCACCGCCCGCAGACGGCCTGCCACATCCTCGATGGTGAGGGTGGACAAGTCCATCATCGTCTCTATGGAGAGAGCGATCTGGATGTACTTTGCCGGCACGGAGTGGAGGAATTTGGAGACCGCCTCCTCTTCATCGATGGTGACGCGGTGGCTCTTCAGCTTGCTGATGAGCGTCTGGAGGCGGAGGGAAAAGTCCTCCACTGTTTCATCATCTTTGAACTTGAGGTTTGTGTACTCCTGCTTCAGAAGCTGGGTCGTCGCCTTCTTTGCACGGTCGAACCGACTCGCATCGCCGTAATGGTCTCCCACGCCTCCTTAGCTGAGCTTTTCGTCTCCAACGGTTTCCTATACTCCGCCGGTACAGCAGTGAGGATAGCTTCCAACGCTGACATGTCGTCTTCTTCCACGTCGGTGCTCTTATCAACAGCATTCCAGAGCCGTCAGGCTCTGAGCTTGACCTTCATGGTCACCGACCACTCTCCATAGTTGGTGCGAGTCCGCATCGGCCAAGTGGTGCCACTGACCTCCCGCACCGTGCGGACAACTACCCCCGGTAGTGGCTGGGCAGCTATGACAGTGCCACTGCCGTCGCCCAACTTCAAACCGCCTGTCATCGCCATCGGTTAGAATGACGACGGCGCTTGAACCTGAAGCTTTGATACCACTTGTTGACCTACGGGATCACCGGCTGACGACAGTGAACCAGATAGCCCCCAGACCACTAGTCTCAGACCCCTGGCCTCCGGACCACTAGTCCCCAGACCACTAGCCGTGCCGACCATCGTATCGGCTTTGTCCGTACCCACACACTACGGATCGAGCTAGAAGAAGAAGGAAGAACAGAGCAATCATGCACAATATAAGACAACAACGTTGGCCGAGGCCCTATCTGTGTGATGACAAATCTAAGCTCTCTTTACTGAATTGTCTTGATGCCCTATTTATACAACTCTATCTATCTAACTAAAGTACAGCGCACATGCTGTAATAGTAACTAGATAAGCATACAGGACTGACTCTACGCCGGCCACTGCATGTGCCTACAGTGCTGCAGGTGAGTCGTGCGACGTCTGTACCTGCAGCGGCTACAGTATCACAGCAGGAGACAAAATCGACGCCGCCTTGCTGAAGGTGACATTAGATTAGCTTAACACTCTCGTCTCGGTCACCTAGCAGCTCTCTGCAGCGGCTAGCTAGCTCTCCCGGCCGGCCCGGCCGCCTTTTTCCCCTGCCGTTACCCCCCCGGCTTAGGAACCCTCGAAAAGACGCCTCACCATCTCCTTCGTGTCCTTGCTAACTAACTCCCCATTAAATCTTTCTTCCTCCCGCTGGCCGTGGCCGCCCCGCCACCGCCCGCCCGCCCCAGTTGTTGCTTCATAAGCTCGCCATCGCCATATATACATACCCGACGACGCACGCGCGTGCGCAAACCAGCAGGAGCTAGCGAGCACCAACCGGGCCAAGAAGCCTAGCCAGCGACCGAGCAGAGCTGCCCCGGCCCGGCCGCTCGCGCGTCCAATCGAAAGGGATCAGGGAGGGGAGGCCACATCGAGCTTGGCAAGACAACCCTCGGTACATATGCAGGGCGGCGGCGGCGGCGGTGATCAAGCAGGAGGGATCCTGGGCATGGACATGGGCGTGGGGTACGCTGGCGGCAGCGGCGCCGAGTGCTCGTCGTCGGCTTCGGCGGCGGCTGCTGCTGCCGCGGCCGCAGCCGCCGACGCGGCGGAGGCGGAGGAGCGGCAGTTGCTCAAGGGGGAGATCGTGGTGCACCCGCTGTGCGAGCAGCTGGTGGCGGCGCACGTGGGGTGCCTGCGCGTGGCGACGCCCATCGACCACTTCCCCCTCATCGACGCGCAGCTCGCGCAGTCCAGCGGCCTCCTCCACTCCTACGCCGCCCACCACCGCCCCTTCCTCTCCCCGCACGACAAGCACGACCTCGACTCCTTCCTCGTACGTCCTCTGCTACCACTACTTCTAGCTATGCATCGTGCACGCATGCATCTAGGTTTCCAATTCCATCGAGCTGACTGGTTCTTCTTCCTCTGCATGCATGCATATGCATGGCGGCTCATGCATGGTGGTGCAGGCGCAGTACCTGATGCTGCTGTGCTCGTTCCGGGAGCAGCTGCAGCAGCACGTCCGGGTGCACGCCGTGGAGGCCGTCATGGCGTGCCGCGAGATCGAGCAGTCCCTGCAGGACCTCACCGGTAAGCAAGCTACATATGTTTCATTAGCTATATATTACGTTTAATTTTCCCACCAATTGTCTCCTTCAAATTTCTGTTTCCTTCGTCCTTCCATTTCTGGTTGCATTAATTTGCGCAAGCTTGGGTGTTGTGTTTTCTCAAGATTTGCCTATCCGGTGCGCTGCCTTTTTCTCCTTGCTGCTGGTAGTTAGTTTGAATGACACCACACGCTCACTGTTTCTTTAGTTTGTTGATTGATGCATGCCTGTAAGCATACAAAGGTAAAATTAGTTGCAGCGTCGTCTTCCATGGCTTCTATGCATCTCTGTTGTGTGTGTGTGTGTGTGTGTGTGTGTGACTTGCTTGAGTCTTAAGGGTTTCCTCAATCCTAACGAAGTTGTTTAACCGTTGAGAGTATTGATGGTAAGATCGAGATACTAAGTAACTAACAATCTGCAGGTATTTTTGTATTCTTCTTCTCTATTAATACATGCCCAGCAAATTTCTTTCTGGTTGTTTTCCGGGAAAATATAGTTTTAGTATTCAACGAGCAACGGAATAAGAAATGTACAAAATCAAAAGGAGTATACACGTAGTGCGTACGTACCTGGGCTGTTGAAAGACCGGAATATAACATTTCAAATGCATGCAACTCGGTCGGATGGTGAAGTTTAGGCCCACGTAGCAAGCCTAACAGCCCAACTGTACATGGCAAGGACAGGAGAACTACTAAACCCTTGCCATCTCTATGTTAGGAAAAACAAACTGAAGGCACACATGAAAATTCATACTTTGAGCATAATTTTCGTACATGTTTTTTATTGGTTGTCAATGGTTATTACCCTGGTCATCCCTAAAAACAAAGGCCAAATTCCAAAATTTCCACAATAAAGCTAGTACCTAATAGTTCTTTAAAAAAACTAGCTAGCTAGTACCCAATACGCGGTTAGTTGGTAATTAATACGCATGGGTATTAGCCCGAAGTATTGGGCAACCCATTAGTTGGTAGTAAAATAGTATATGATTTATAGCGACCATTCGGAGGGCGTATGTATCTGTATGTGGTTTAATTTTCATGTTTCAAAGAAGCTATCAGGAGGTTTGGCATACATCGGTAGCAATGGAGGTATAGCATACACTGGCCATTTTTTTTCAAAGGCTCGACTATAAGAGCAACAAAATCATAAAAGTAGAATTTTCTTACCTCCCATGTATCAGGGGAAAAATTGACACTGACGTTTTCAGCAGCAAATTTGACTTGCATATATATATGTAGTTCAATTTTGCTGTGTGAATCCATCATTATCAAAAAGTGATCAGCTAGAGGTAGTATCATCGCCATGATTGAACATGAACTATCCATCAGCCCATCACCACCACATATACCCTTTATTTGTTACCTGACATGACCATGCTCTTGGTGGTCGTCTTCATATAATGAGAAGTCAGAACATATTCACTCCCTCAATTTACTAGTGCGACACATATATATAAGCTCAATTACGATCATCAAAAAATAAAAAGGCGATGCAATACACAACTAAGGAAAATATGTTGTTCAATCCAATATATAACTTAGCAAGCATGGAAACATTATCTTTGAATTGTGACCCCTAGCTGATTATGTCATGTTGCGGGTGTTGAATTTTACAACGCTTATGTTGTTATAAAGGTTTTGATTTAGACTTTAGAGGCGCCACCATTTTACTGCACCTTTAACTTACTTCAGGATTATTGTTCTTTTCGACAACTATTAATTTGATCTCTAGCTTCACCTTGACACAAACAATTCATGATCGATGGCATGGCGTTTTTCTTAGATCTTCGACTTGGTGGTTAATTGCATAAACGAATTAAGTGGTCTAATTTTTTTGCCCCCGCGTCGTCCCGACGGGCGGCTCTCCCAGCCCTCTCACCGGCATCCCCGTAACCCTAGCGGCGCCTGTGCCGCTGCCGGAGCTGCCAGCCGAAGGCCCGGCGAGCAGCGAGGAGGGCGGCGGTGCGGCAATCTCGCTCTCCTTCTCACCCATCACTCTCCTTCCTCCCTCCTTTCCCACCCCGGCGAGCAGCGACGAGCAGCCTGACAGGGCTTGCTCCGGGGTCCGGTGGCCAGAGTGCTCAGCGGCCGGGCATGCCCACGTGGTGCCCGCGCCCTCTCCAACTGCCTCGTCCCTCCCTTGCTCTGGCTCCGGTCGGGCATGGCCGCTTTGGCCGGGCTGCTGGCCGGTCTCGGCTGGATCCCGCAGGGGAACGAGAGGAGGCTGCTCCGGCGTGCGCGGCGACTGGATCTGGACAGTGCCTGGCCTAGGCTCTGACGTGTTGCGGTGACGGCGGCCAGATCCCCTTTGACGCTGGCCAGCTGAGGCGCCTGCAACGGTGGCTCAGGTCGGCGGATTCGGGGTGTTGGAGGCCGGATCCGGTGTCCCTAGGGCCGGATCCGGTGTCCTTGGGGCCGACGGCTGTGTGGCATGGCGGAGTGGGCAGCAAGGAGCTGGAGGAGGTTGCTGTGGATCTTGCGTGGCATGGTTGATGCAGGGCTGGCTCGACAGGGGTTGGGACGTTGGTGGACTGGGCGACTGGGGCTTCTTCTGATTCTGGCCCTCTTCTACCCGCCATCTGTCTTCCCCCTTCCACAGACTGGCTTCTCAGGGGGAGCTAGCCGGATTCGCTTGCTGCTGGCCGACTTTGCCGGTTCTGGCGGGGGTGGACTCTCCGACAGGCTTCTCCCGGCATTTCTCCTGGCCAGCGTCCCTAGGGGCGGCGGGAGGGCGAGGTTGCTGCTGATCCATCGCCGCATCCTGCCTTCCAGGTAGGGTTCGTTCTCTAGCGGCGATGGTGTGGAGGTTACCTGAGGTCGGGGCGAAAGCTTGGACGACTACGTCTGCGGACGTCGTTCCCTTCTTGGAGGCGTCCTTTCCTATCTCGCTTCCTACCATACTAGATGTTTCAGGTGAAAACCTTCCCTTGATGGGCTACCTTGTCGGCGCTTTTAGTGTCGTTTCCTCCTTAGAGGCATTGCTAGGCTTTCCAGTTCCGTGGTTGCCTCTTGCCGTCTGGCCATGATGATGCCCCAAGCTCTGCTGTTTGGTGATGCCGTGGTGTTTCTTTCTGCCCTTGTTAGTTGTTAGTAGAGTTTTTAGTTGGGTCGTTTCGACCAAGTTGGAGCACGTTAGTGGTGTGAGTTTTAATAGTTATTCAGTTGGTTGTACCAAAGTTGTACAGGATGAGTGGAACACTCTCCTCGGTTGTATGGTTTTTGGGCCCAGTTTCCATTCAAAAAACTGGGCGAACACTTGCCTTTTTTTACTTTTCTTCATCTAATAGAAATCGCGGCAAAACTTTTGCCGTCCTTTCTTAAAAAAAACTTGGTGGTTAATTCTAGATGTCTATGTTATCTTTTCCAACCTATTCAGTTTATTTCTTCGCATTCCATGCCCCTGATCGATCCCTATCACTTGAGTTGAGTCAGTTTCCTAGTATATAGCTAGCTCTTCCGGACATGCATGCACTATCTTTACTTTTAGAGAGTAGATGCAAAATTCCAAAAGCGTCTAGATCTAGCATACATGTGTTTAATTAGGTGGTGCTTCTTCCACAAAGCAAGTGGCCATATGCTCAGAGCTGGCACAAATGTCTACCTAGGCACAAGCTAGCTTAGCTTGCTAGCTGGTTCTCATGCACGTTCCGGCAACGGCGATTCATGCATGTCTATCTCGAGTGCACGTCCCAGAGCTTTCATTCACGCATTCCTCCGTACAACGTACACATGTTTCTGTGGGTGTCCCGATCACGGATCACTATACTACTACCTGTGATTGTGATCCGAACTGATGGATGCAAACGATTGACGAGGAATTTTTCATGTTAACAAGGTCATTAACACGGTTTGTTTCTGGGAAAGTCATCGTTGCTGGCAGTCACTATTGATCTTTTCCATGTTAGGGGCGACGCTGGAGGAAGGGACGGGGGCGACCATGTCGGAGGACGAGGACGAGCCGCCGATGCTGGAGTCGGGCCTGGACATGGGCTCCGATGGGCACGACATGATGGGCTTCGGCCCGCTCCTGCCCACCGACTCCGAGCGCTCACTCATGGAGAGGGTCAGGCAGGAGCTCAAGATCGAGCTCAAGCAGGTTAATAAAAAAAATAAGAAGAGGAAGTAGAAGAATTGTGATATACTACTGCATATAAAAGCGTGTGCATGCATATGCTTTAGGTTGATGTGAAGTCATGTCGAATTCGTTGCAGGGTTTCAAGTCAAGAATAGAGGATGTGAGGGAGGAAATTCTGAGGAAAAGGAGGGCCGGGAAGCTGCCTGGGGACACCACCAGCATCCTCAAGGAATGGTGGCAGCAGCACTCCAAGTGGCCATACCCCACGGTGAGTGCATTGTAGCTATCATGCATGCATACAAGAATGCAACCAGCCATCTACTGCTACTACCAAATGCATACACTGATGGTGTGTGGTGTGGTGGTCACCCTTCTTAGCTGTTCTCCATATATCCAACAACTTGCTGATGAAGCTTATTGCTGGCAATATATATATTCCTCGTGGCACTTAATTAATTATGTGGTTATTAAATGAGTTCTTGGGAAAGAAAGAAAGGAAAAGATATGTGGTTTGTAAAGTATCGTGTGTGCATATCCTAAAGATGGTATCATTTGAGTGGCTGTTTCAGGAAGACGATAAAGCAAAGCTTGTTGAAGAGACTGGCCTGCAGCTGAAACAAATCAACAACTGGTTCATCAACCAGAGGAAGAGAAAATGGCACAACAACTCCCAGACGTCAACCCTCAAATCAAAGCGTAAAAGGTGACCAATAATGTTCTCTCCAACAATGCATGATTATATATATACATCTCTCATGGAGTAAGTTAGTAGTAATATTCTCTGTAATTATATCCCTATGGTTTCTGACACAAATGCATATATCTGCAGGTGATGGAGAGCTAGCTGCACAATGTAATGCACACCTGCTGACACATATACCGACACGCTAATCAAACGAAGCTCGACGACCATGGTGACTCACAAAAATAAAGAGGATCGATCGATTCAACTGTATATCTAGTGATTAGTCAGAGGTGACAGGTTCATGACACACACACAAACACACGTACACTAGTCTGACCACTGGCATATTTGTTTCCTGTGATTTTTGAGCTGATGTGCTCAGAGCATACTTCATTCTTGTTATTATTGTATAGCCATAGTTTGTCCCCCAGCGTACATACATAATCTGAGGATTAAAAATCCATCCCTTGTGCACATATATATAGTGATCTGATCTGACCATCATCTGCTGGCAGGAAGAAAAAAAAACAGAGGTTGCATTCATGTTTGTACCATAAGCTGCTGCTACTTTATTTGTCAACAATAATCTGTTCCATTCAGAAAATATGGTAGCTATGCCAATCATCATAACATCATATATAGTTGGCGCAATACAATTCAGAGTTGCAGACGGCTGCTATGTGGATCAGATCGGAATCTCTATCGCTGTGGGCCTTGTATCGATTAGGTGTACCAAATTGAAATTGGACAGCCCGGTGGAGATTTATTGAACGATTAGGCCTAACCAACACCACAAGACAAATTAAGGCTGGAGCAGAAAGCCTCTCATAATAATCCCAAAGTCTTCCGGCGCATAACGAGCGATCCATCGTCTACAGTTACATGATTACAGATATATACATCGTCTCTGATTAATGTCTCGAAGAGATAATTGTTATGCAACTTGTCAAATATTCCTATCGATTGATGCTGGAGCTAGCTACGTCTCAACCAAGGACAGCTCCGTTGAGACCTCGCTATCGAATCAAACAGCTAATTGGTTTATCAGGGGGGGGGGGGAGGGAGGACAACTGGCCAGAAGAAAAAAGATGATAATCCCAGACTGAGGGTTGCTGTCTGTCTATTCATCTCGTCCTATGATAATAACATGTATGAAAGGGCACTGCTCCGTGCTCGTGCTCATAAGCATTTCATTCCTTCACTCCATTATCAAACGTCATAAAAGTTGTGATTATCATACCGAGCAAATGAACTCACGACCTGTCCGGGACCAATACTAGGGTACCCAAAGAGAAGAAGCTAATGACCATCAACGTTGATTCGTCCGTGCGATCAAGAGCGCGACTACGCCTCTTGCCGGGCTCCGCCTCGTCCGGCAACCGAGGCCATGGGCCCTGCCTCGTCTGACCCCCGAAGGTTGGCTCCACCTCGTCGGGAAAATAGAGGAAGGCAAACGACGAAGAACGACGACGACGCAGGTCTTATAACTCGGCTCAGAAGCAAGGAGAAGCCACGCAGGGGTCTTTCCCGCGCCAGCGCGAAGCCAAGGGCGGCCACAGGCGCGACTGGAACCGAGCAGAAGGTCGCCGGCAATGTAGCTTAAGCGGCGAGCACTGTTCAACTTAATTACAGAATTGTCATTCGTCTAAATTTTCAAATTACTCCCAAATTTGTATAACAACTAAAAAATCTCCAAAAATAAAAGTTGTTCAAAATTCAAAGCTCTACAACTTTGCTTTTATAACCACCTCCTAATTCGGTCTATATTTTGAAATGCAAATTTGAATTCAAATAGGGAACATTTAAAGAATTTCGCCTTTTCAAATTGCTTCAAATTTTTCATAACAACTTTGAAAACTCCAAAAACAAACTTTGTACAACTCGACAAGCTCTACATTTTTGCTTTAAGGCTCAACCCCAAAATGTGCTTCGATTTTGAAATGGGTTTTTCGGGTCAAAACTAATCGTTGGAAATCAGGGTTTTCGAAACTTCAAATCCAAACCAAACTTTGAACTCAATTCAAACCATACAAGGCAACACTCATAACATAAATGTAAACTTATTTTAGTGAATGCATATCAAAGTTTGCAATATGACCAAATGCCTTGCAATGCATATGATGACATGTCCTGTTTTAGTATTTAAAACACCCGGGGTGTTACAATCCTTCCCCCTAAAAGAAATCTCGTCCCGAGATTCAAAGTCATAGGGTAAGTAATGGAAAAATAAATGTGTCAATCCAAAAATATCCAAACCTGTTCCTAAAACAACTAAGGTTCCTTTACAAACATGGTTCGTAACAACAAAACAAAACTAACATTCTTCTATATTGATGCAAGAAACTCTGGAAACTTTTCTAACAGGTAATCTTCAGATTCCCAAGTAGCTTCTTCTTCTGAATGTTGATTCCATTGTATCTTGTAGAACTTGATTGTCCTCCTTCGAGTAACACGATCTTTCTGATCCAAAACTCGGATAGGATATTCGGATTAAGTCAAATCTGTTTCAAGTTCCACTCCTTCAACCTCAACATTCTGCTCAGGCACTCGGAGACACTTCTTTAATTGAGAAACATGGAACACATCATGCACAGCTGCGAGATGTTCTGGTAATTTCAAGCGATATGCCACTTTTCCATACCTCTCCAAAATTTGAAAGGGTCCAATATATCGAGGTGCCAACTTTCCTTTAACACCAAAACGATTAACTCCCTTCATTGGTGATACTTTCAGATATACAAAATCTCCTTTGTTAAACACCAATGGTCTACGTTGTCTATCCGCATAACTCTTTTGTCGGGACTGAGCTATCTTCAAATTACTTTGTATTTGCCTAACCTTGTCTTCTGTTTCTTTCACAAGGTCAACTCCAAAGAACCTTCTTTCTCCAGGCTCAGACCAACTCAGCGATGTTCTGCATCTACGACCATAGAGTGCTTCAAATGGAGCCATTCTAATGCTTTCCTGATAACTATTGTTGTATGAGAACTCGACCAAAGGTAAGCATTCGTCCCACTTATTGGAATAGTTAAGGACACAACACCTTAACATATCTTCAAGTACTTCATTGACTCTTTCAGTCTATCCATCAGTCTACGGATGATAATCTGTACTATATAATAGTTTTTTACCCAATGAAGAATGCAATTGTTTCCAAAAGCTAGAGACAAACTGTGTACCCCTATCAGACACAATAGTCTTGGGTACTTCATTGAGGCTCATGATTCGCTCTAAATACATCTTGGCATACCATATAGTGGGATATGTATTCTGGACTGGAAGAAAATGTGCTGACTTGGTTAGTCGATCTACAATAAACCATATTGATTCAAATCCCTTTGATGTCTTGGGTAGACCAACAATAAAGTCCATACTTATGTCCTCCCACTTGCAAGATAGAATAGGTAATGGTTGTAATTTACCAGTAGACCTCAAATGTATAGCTTTCACCTTTTGACAAGTATCACACTTTGCTATGTATTTAGCAATCTCTATCTTTATTTTGGTCCACCAAAATCTTTGTTTGAAGTCATGGTACATCTTGTTACTTCCCGAATGGATAGATAACCTAGTAGCATGTGCATCTTCTAGAATTGACTGCCGCAACTCAGGAACCTTTGGTACCACCAGACGATCCTTGAACCATAACACACCTTCATCATCTATGCTGAAGCATTCCGCTTTTCCATTCCTGACCCTTTCTTTGATATGGGCTATACCCTTGTTTTCTTTCTGAGCAGCAATAACTTGATCTCGAATAGTGGCTTCAACCATTATGTTGGTCAAACTGCCTTATCGAATTACCTCTACATTCAACTTCTCCATCTCTTGACATAAAGTCAATCCCATTGTTCTCACTGCCAGACAATTGCAATAACTTTTGCGACTAAGGGCATCTGCAACCACATTTGCTTTGTCAGGGTGATAATGTACCTCCAAGTCATAATCTTTAATCAGTTCTAACCATCTTCTTTATCGCATGTTCAATTCTGACTGAGTAAAGATATACTTTAAACTCTTGTGGTCTATATAAATATGGCACATATTACCAAGCAGGTAATGCCGCCAAATCTTTAGAGCATGGACAACAACTGCTAATTCTAGATCATGAGTCGGATAGTGTTCTTCATGTTGCTTAAGTTGCCTGGATGCATAGGCAATGACTCGACCTTCTTGCATCAACACACATCCAATACCAATACCCAAAGCATCACAATAAACATCAAGTGGCTTCTCGATATCTGGTTGGGCTAATATTGGCGCAGTGGTCAACAGTCTCTTCAAAGTCTAGAAAGCTTCTCCACAATCAGATGACCAGACAAACTTGACTTGGTTCTTCAACAACTCAGTGATGGACTTTGATACTCTAGAGAAATCTGGAATAAAACGATGGTAATACCCCGCCAATCCTAGAAAACTCCGAACCCGATGATCTGTGGTTGGCGGTTTTCAATCAAGCACATCCTTCACTTTGCTTGGATCAACTGCAACACCTTCAGCTGACAAGACATGTCCAAGAAATTGTACTTCCTTAAGCCAAAAATCACACTTGCTGAACCTGGCATATAGTTGATGTTCTCTCAAGCGGGTCAGAACAATTCTGAGATGTTCTTCATGTTCTTCCTTATTCTTGGAATATACTAGAATGTCATCAAAAAACACCACTACAAACATGTCTAGCTCAGACATGAATACTGAATTCATCAGATACATGAAATGAGCTGGGGCGTTTGTCAAACCAAAAGACATTACCAAGTATTCATATAATCCATATCTTGTGGTAAATGCCGTTTTAGGAATATCTTCAGGCTTAATCTTAGTGATAGCCTGACCTCAAATCAATCTTGGAGAAAACTCTAGCTCTGGCCAATTGATCAAAAAGCAAATCTATCCGAGGTAAGGGATACTTATTCTTGATGGTCACTTCATTCAACGGACGATAGTCGACACATAACCTCAGGGTCTCATCTTTCTTTTTCACAAAAATAGCAGGACATCCCCAAGGTGATGAACTAGGTTGGATAAACCCCTTATCAATCAATTCTTGCAACTGAGTCTTCAACTCGGCTAACTCCTTGGGTGGCATCCTATAAGCTCTCCGAGAAATCGGAGCCGTTCCTGGTTTTAACTCTATGTTAAACTAGACAT